TCTCAGTAACCATATGCACTCTGTCTGTTCTTCCTTACTCTTACCACCCTCAATATTACATGAGGGAACCTAACAATTTTTTCTAAAAGTCTGGGATCTCTCAAGAAAAACAGAAGACCCTTTTCACAAGATGGCGCCCAAAGCGAAGAAGGAAGCTCCCGCCCCTCCTAAAGCCGAAGCCAAAGCGAAGGCTTTAAAGGCCAAGAAGGCTGTGTTTAAAGGTGTCCACAGCCACAAAAAAAAAAAAAGATCCACACGTCATCCACCTTCCGGCGGCCCAAGACACTGCGACTCTGGAGGCAGCCCAAATATCCGCGGAAGAGCGCCTCCAGGAGAAACAAACTGGACCGCTATGCTATCAAGTTTCCGCTGACCACTGAGTCTGCCACGAAGAAGACAGAAGACAACAACACACTTGTGTTCATTGTGGATGTTAAAGCCAACAAGCACCAGATCAAACAGGCTGTGAAGAAGCTCTATGACATTGATGTCGCCAGGGTCAACACCCTGACTCGGCCTGATGAGAGAAGGCATATGTTCGACTGGCTCCTGATTACGATGCTTTGGATGTTGCTAACAAAATTGGGATCATCTAAACTGAGTCCAGCTGGCTAATTCTAAATATATGTATATCTTTTCACCATTAAAAAAAAAAAAACAACAGAAAAACAGAAAAGGTTCCATTGACTTTTGTTTTGTTTTGAAGAATCCTCTGTTTTTCTTCATGGAACTCCAAGAGTTTTAAGACGACAGATTTCTCTCAGGTCTAAAATTCTGCCTTCTTTTGTAGTGCATTACCTGATACGACTGGTTTTGGGGGTACCAGAGATGACTTTGTCCTGTGAGAGAACTTGACCTTGATGTGTGTAATGGCTGTTAGTCACAGGCAAGAGCTGCAGTGTCAGAGGTAGCTTGGTGGTAGTTATTTACAGTTAATGGTTATTACTATAGGGGGCTACTCATTTCTTTGCATGTTTAGATATAAAAGGCATGGTCTAAACACTTAGAAAAATGTCTTTACATCAATGTGCCCTATTAAAGTATTGTGCAGCCCAGTGTCGTGATGTTTACTATGTGTTTTTGGTGAAGAAGCTTATTTTAAAAAATGAAGATGTGGTTTTTGCTAATTTTGCTTTTGCTAAAGAAAAAGTAATTCTGTCTAGTTTAGAGGTTATGTAAATGCTGTTTCAAAATGAAAGGAAAATAATGTAGATAAAAGTAAATAGATCTAGGACTGGGCATAGTGGCTCAAGCATGTAATTTCAGCACTTTGGGAGGCTGAGGCGGGTGGAATCTTTGAGGCCAGGAGTTCGAAACCAGCCTGGCCAACATGGAGAAACCCCATCTCTACTAAAAATACAAAAATTAGCTGGGTGTGGTAGTGTGTGCCTGTAATCCCAGCTATGTGGGAGGCTGAATCACTTGAACTTGGGA